AATTCCCGTTTTTCCCCCCATTTCCCCCCGAATTCCCGTTTTTCCCCATTTTTCCATCTTTTCCCGCAGGTGAAGCGCGCTCTGGTGCAGCTGATCAGCGCCATGGCTCACCACGGCTTCCTGGAGCCGCCGGCTGGGGAATCTCTCCTGGAATTCCTGATCCGCCAGTGCGCCCTGCCCCCGGACGAGGTCACAATTCCCAAATCTCCTCCCCAAATTCCCAATTTTCCCCGCCCTTTTCCCTTCTTCCCATCCTCTCCCATTTTTTACCCCTTTTTCCTGCCTTTTTCTCCCATTTTATCCCAATTTTTTCCCTTTTTTCCCCATTTTTTCTCTTTTTCCACCATTTTTTTTCCCGTTTTCCTCCCATTTTTCCCATTTTTCCTCCCATTTTTCCCATTTTTTCCCATTTTCCTCCTATTTTTTCCATTTTTTCTCTTTTTCCACCATTTTTTTTTCCGTTTTCCTCCCATTTTTTCCCATTTTCCTCACATTTTTCCCATTTTTTCCCATTTTCCTCCTATTTTTCCCATTTTCCTCCCATTTTTTCTCATTTTCCTCCTATTTTTCCCATTTTCCCTCCCATTTTTCCCATTTTTTCCCATTTTCCTCCTATTTTTCCCATTTTTTCTCTTTTTCCACCATTTTTTTTCCGTTTTCCTCCCATTTTTCCCATTTTCCTCCCATTTTTCCCATTTTCCTCACATTTTTCCCATTTTTCCCGTTTTCCTCCCATTTTTTCCCATTTTCCTCCCATTTTTCCCATTTTTCCTCCCATTTTTCCCATTTTTCCCATTTTCCTCCTATTTTTCCCATTTTTCCTCCCATTTTTCCCATTTTTTCCCATTTTCCTCCTATTTTTCCCATTTTTCCTCCCATTTTTCCCATTTTTTCCCATTTTCCTCCTATTTTTCCAATTTTTCCTCCCATTTTTCCCATTTTTTCTCTTTTTCCTCCTACTTTTCCCATTTTTTCTCTTTTTCCACCATTTTTTTCCCCGTTTTCCTCCCATTTTTCCCATTTTTTCCCATTTTCCTCCTATTTTTCCCATTTCCCTCCCATTTTTTCCCATTTTCCTCCTATTTTTCCCATTTTTCCTCCTATTTTTCCCATTTTTTCCCATTTTCCTCCTACTTTTCCCATTTTTTCTCTTTTTCCACCATTTTTTTTTCCGTTTTCCTCCCATTTTTCCCATTTTCCTCCCATTTTTCCCATTTTCCGCACATTTTTCCCATTTTTTCCCATTTTCCTCCTATTTTTCCCATTTTCCTCCCATTTTTTCTCATTTTCCTCCTATTTTTCCCATTTTCCCTCCCATTTTTCCCATTTTTTCCCATTTTCCTCCTATTTTTCCCATTTTTTCTCTTTTTCCACCATTTTTTTTCCCGTTTTCCTCCCATTTTTTCGCATTTTTTCCCATTTTCCTCCTATTTTTCCCATTTTCCTCCCATTTTTTCCCATTTTCCTCCCATTTTTCCCATTTTTTCCCGTTTTCCTCCCATTTTTTCCCATTTTCCTCCCATTTTTCCCATTTTTTCCCATTTTCCTCCCATTATCTTCCCATTTTTCCTCCCATTTTTCCCATTTTTCCCATTTTCCTCCTATTTTTCCCATTTTCCCTCCCATTTTTCCCATTTTTCCCATTTTCCTCCTATTTTTCCCATTTTTCCTCCCATTTTTCCCATTTTTTCCCATTTTCCTCCTATTTTTCCAATTTCCCTCCCATTTTTTCCCATTTTCCTCCTATTTTTCCCATTTTTCCTCCTATTTTTCCCATTTTTTCCCATTTTCCTCCTACTTTTCCCATTTTTTCTCTTTTTCCATCATTTTTTTCCCATTTTCCTCCCATTTTTCCCATTTTTTCCCATTTTCCTCCCATTTTTCCCCATTTTCCTCCCATTTTTTCCCATTTTCCTCCCATTTTTCCCATTTTTTCCCGTTTTCCTCCCATTTTTTCCCATTTTCCTCCCATTATCTTCCCATTTTTCCTCCCATTATTCCCATTTTTTCTCTTTTTCCTCCTATTTTTCCCATTTTTCCTCCCATTATTCCCATTTTTTCTCTTTTTTCCACCATTTTTCTGTCATTTTTTCCAATTTTTTCCCATTTTCCTCCCATTTTTCCCATTTTTGTCCCATTTTTCCCATTTCCCCCTTTCCTCCTTTTATCCCAGTTTTTCCCTCTCTCTTTTCCTTTGTTTTTCCCCATTTTTCCTCCTCTTTTCCCACTTTTTTCCCTCATTTTCCTCATTTTCCTCCTTTTCCCCTTTTATCCCGATTTTCCCCCTTTTCCTTTCCCCATTTTTCCTCCTCTTTCCCCATTTTTTCTCCCATTTCCCTCCTGTTTTTCCCATTTTCCTCCCATTTTTTCCCATTTTTCCCATTTTTCTCCTTTTCCCCTTTTATCCCAATTTTTATCTCTTTCCTTTCCCTTCATTTTCCTGATTTTTCCTCTTTTTTCTCCCATTTTCTTTCTATTTTTCCATTTTCCCCATTTTTTTCCCATTTTTTCCCCCTTTTCCCCCCTTTTCCCCATTTTTCCCCATTTTTCCACCTTTTCCTTATTTTTTTCCCCATTTTTCCCCCTTTTCCCCATTTTTTCCCCCCTTTCCCTATTTTTTCCCCATTTTTCCCCCATTTTTCCCCATTTTTCCCCCTTTTCCCTATTTTTTTCCCCATTTTTCCCCCATTTTTTCTCATTTTTCCCCCCTTTTCCCTTTTTTTCCCT